ATCACTAATATTTATTCTTATGAAAAAACCATCTAATATAGTGAAAAATCTGTATTATAATATCGTAGCTATTATAAAAAAAAAATATTGGACCGCTCTATAGTTTTTATAATCTGATGACTTTTACCGCAACATTCCTACTGTCTTCACCCGTCCATGTATCTTTTATTTTGCATCTAATGTGGTAATTTTAGGAGTTCTCTTCTCTGGTTAACTGACATTATACAACGTTTCTAGTAGAATAAAAATACACCAGTCCTCTAAACAAGTGGCACACGAATCTATAAATAAATATATTTTCGTTACCATATGCAAAAAATATAACGAGACAGTAATATTTGTGCTCTGTTCTCAAGAACACGGCGATAGACTATCTTCCGATAGTTTCATTGTCACTTGTTTAGGAATGCAATGCAACTGTAAAAAAATATTTTACCAGACTACCCTTGTTGAACTAATATTTTCATTACTTTAATATTTAATTTTAACTTTTCATAAATTATTTCAATTAAAGATCTGTGTTGATTTACGGTTACAAAGGTCATTGGACTAATCTCTTTTAGTAGCTCTAAAAAGTGAAATCCTTAGTTCGGGCACAGATTTGCAAGTCAGATCTTAGGATGAATTGTTCCACTTCCGATCCGAATCAGAATATTCAATCAGATAAAGACTCTTCGCTTGACAAATGGTTTTTTATTATAGCAATCAGCTGCATGGATTGACAAGTGATATCTTTTGTAATTAAATTTAAAAAGTAACAGATTTGCCTGTAATTTTTTTTTTGTTTTTATTATATCAAACGATATCAATCTTTCATAAACCCATTTTAGCTTAACAATTCAATAACCGTTTTATCTCTTTCTTTGGTGCTAAATTCCTAATTTGGAAGAAATTCCTAATTTGGAAGACAGTGACAAAACAGTGTAATAGTTAAAATTAATAGGTTTGTAAAAGATTTTAGTTTTTATAAAGAAGGGGGTAAAGTTTATGCCAGTGGTTAATTCAAGTTAGTATTATTTTTATCACGACACCCGAATAGGACTTCATTAATCGAGAAACGTTTATGCATATCCTTCCCTATAGTAAATATGTCACATTTCCAAGGGATTGATTGAGCAGTTTAGGCATTCAGAAGTAACAAATTAACCCACTGTTACTTATTTGCCATACAAGCACCTGTACTTCAGTTTAGGGGAACTCTTATAAATAATCATCTTCTCATGCAGCCTTAGTTATTTTAAATGACTTGCCAGCAACTGGACTTCAAATTTGATAGACTAAACAAACTCCAAACTTAGGACTTTTTTTATTTATTCAATTATTAGCTTTTACCTGCAAATTTATTTGCGTGACCGGGATATATTCGCTGACCAAGATAAAATGTGATGAAATATGTCTTTTTCCATTCCATTCTGTATATCAAATATCATAGTGATTGATTAAGTCGTTAAGGCGTTAAAAAAGAACAAACAATGTCAATTTTACGTTTATAATATTAATAAATTTTATTATTGTAACACAAAACAAAGACATTGCGATTGTTGTTAAAAAAACAGGCAGTAGATGTAAAAAAATGTATCCACAATATATAAGTTTATAATAATAAACACAGTACGTAAAAGTAACAAAAATGGTATAAATTATTATTTAGAAAAAAAAACATTAAAGCAATTGAATCAAACCGTTTTTAGAGTTTCTACGAAGTAAAACAGTGTTCAGATAATCATAATACATACATATAGCTATTTCGTAGCTATTTGATGCCGTCTCTGGCGCCATCTTAAGACTTCATAATTGCTTACACAGTAGTAATAGCATTTTTAGTAGCAACAATTAATAAATACTGCCTTTTACAATTACAATAAAATATCCAATTGAGTACCTTAGGCGCAAATCATATAGACCAATTACCTCACGGCTTGGCAGCAGTTACCGATCGTATTTAATACGGCTAATTTTAGAAGGCATAATTTGCCGTCAGCATTTCTCTGAAGGAGCCATAATTGAACTCAAGATGCTTGTGAGAAACTGACCTAACTGAGTTGTAACCTACTACTATAATTACGGGTGAAAGACTTTACCAAATAGCAATATCATCATTCTATTGAGCTTTCTCCGTATGTTTAACGATGTTTCTATCGTCTTATTATTACTTGTCAATAGTATTTTTTAATTTCAAATCGAATAAAATCTTTTAAAATGACGCCTGTAATTGGAATCGAAAAAAATAATAACTTGATCCGTTAAAAAAAAAAGCGCTAAATCTGCGATATACGCCTATTGTTATTTTTTTTTATACAATTTAGAATGGCAAACAAGCTGACGGTCCACCTGATGGAAAGTGGTAACCGTCACCTATAGACATGAGCAGTACCATGGATATAACAGAGTATACTGTTTCGCCCATGATCCCCCTTGTCCATACTGATTATTGTCCATTAAAAAAAATAAAATAATACATACAAACTGACAAATTAACAAACACATAAAGAAAATAAATAAATGTTGTATGTATTATATTATATTAATAATAACTAATTGATTTCATTACCATTTTATTATTCTGAAAAAACATAAATATATTATTGTACAGTCGGTTTAATTTATTTTAGGTGGGTTTCAATGCAATTATTAAAAAATAACATGTCATACGCTGTCTATAATAAGCTTGCAGAGCTGTTTATTTTCACAATATAATGGAAAGATAATATAAATAACAGTTACAATAGATCCTGAGTTGCAACATCCGTTATAATGAGGACGCGAAATAACAGTTTGACAGAGCGTTCTGTAGATATTGCAACCGTTAATAACACGTTGTCCAGACTAAGGAATGCCCTGTTATTTTGTAACTGTCACAGATAAAGAAATAACATGAATGGGACCGTTTTGTTGCGAAAAACTATATGTTAGTGCATTTTTTATAAGTTGCCTTTATTCGCAACTTCATTCTTGTGACCACAATATATTCACTGATCGGGATAAAAAGTATCCTTTTTCATCCCATAATGTGTGTATACTAAATTTCAGTTATTACTTAAGCCCATAAGGGTCTAGGAGGATCTAAGGAAATCAAATCTAAGAAACAAACTCTATTTCATATTTATAATATTAGTAAGAATTATAGGACTTTGAAATGGATTTTTTTAAATTTTCTTTAACATTACGACTTATTTTCTTACAGATTTTTTTATCTTAACTAAAAAATTCTATTCATCATCATCATCATATCAGCTTTTAACTCTCCACTGCTGAATATAAGCCTCCCCTTTGGGGGGTTTTGCTAATAGTTGCCACACTTGGCAGGCGGATTGGCAACCGCAGTTAGGCTTTGGAGATATTTTAAGAGGGACACTGCTGCCCATCCCTCGCCTTTCCTTAGTCGTCTTTTACGACGCCCATGGGAAAGGAAGGAGTGGCCTATTCTATACCCGGACCACGCGGCGAATTCTAATTAATAATTAATTGTATTTGCCTCCAACTTACTGGAGTTTCATCGAGTGACCACAGAATATTTGTGATCAGACATTTTTTGTTTGAGTTAAATCTTTTTATATTATTCTTGTTATTTATGTGTAATATTTCTTTTTTATATGTTATTGTACTCATGCTTTCCTGGGTGAGCGTACTGGAAGACTGTAAGGCTCACCCAGTGGATGTAATAATAATAACAATATTTATTTAATTAGACTACATAAGGCCCATTTTGTTAGTTACAAATTGACTTAACCTATGTTAGTAAATGAGCGGTCATAACGCTCTTACATTGATAACCTGTCCCACCCAATATGTAATAAATAAATAATTCTATTTAATTTATATAAAATATGACAAAGTTTCCTAATAATTTCATACATATGGTATTGAATTTTAATAGTTGTGTAGTAAAGGTCCTATATAAGGGCAATGAAAGCTAGTATTTGCATTGCGAAATTTAGGTCTATCTGACCTCTGACCCATCGACACGATAAGATTAAGATATTTATTTATGGTTATGATTATATGTTATTTACTTGATTTGGTACTTAGTATTTGTTTTCTTGTTTCAACACGATGGACTAATTTACCTGACTTTATTCTCCTATCATCTCTCAATCAGCATATACCGATAGGTTATTATTACACTTTTGTCTCAATAACAAAAATACTACAAATAAACACGTCAATCCGGTTTATTTGTATTATTTTAAATGGTAAGATAGAGTAGTACAATCTCTAACACGACAGCGGATAAGGGTGCGATGGACGTCAGACAATTTTCGCATTGTCATTTTGCGGTTTATCCTATAAACGATGGTTAGATATAACTTTCTATCTGATATTCTTTTTTTGAAATTTAAACAATACATTTAGCTATGTCGAACAGAGGGTAATGACCGCATCCAACCGCCATGTCCCTCATTTAAAGAATGACCGCTAATAGCGTTACATTGTTTTAATTTTCCTTGGCTTTCACTGCACGCGCGTCTAATGTAATACATAATTGCCCACATTATGACATACACACTTGTCGACGTTCGCAGAGACCACTTCCAGTCGATTGTTATACTTTTTACAGAGTTGGGAATGATAACTTTTTGCAAGTTTCGTGAATGATAGCCTTCCGTTGTTTACACGGTTTTTGATCTGTAGCTTTTGAGAGAATGTTTCTCCATTCTTATATTTTGTGTCACAAATTTCCGGTACATAGATACACAGATATTTTTCATATGGATACGAGTTTTAGTATATTATTATATCTATGGAGTACAAAATTGAATGGATATTATGTTTGCCTTAGAAATAATAAAAAACAAATTTTACTATATCTGAGTTAGGTTGAAACAATTATTTAAATCAGTACTTGTCAATCTCAAAATTCGTAACCATTTTCGTCACTTGTTTGAAAGTGACGAATTATTGTAACCTATCTTCATTTCTCCATTGTCAGATGAGCATGCCCAATAACTTACTATTATCAAACTACCTGAAATAAAATTATGTATTTTGTTCTATTCCAGAAAGCTGCACCTGTTCAAGAACCACAAGAAGATGATAGGAATGGCAGGTATGATATGACTCGTAACTATAGTGTAATAGTTAACTGGAGATGCTCTATTATATGTCTGTGTGAGTTCGTATATTGATACTGTTTTGTTGTAATGTAATGTTTAATTTAATGAAAATTTCGTATTTTTTATAACATCTGCTTAGAATAGCAAACAAGCTCATAGCCCACCCTATACAAGTATAGACATCAACAACACTATTAACATTACATAATGTACTGTAGTTCTCATGATAGGCTTCATGCGTTGCCATTCCTGAGAATTACGGACTTATGCCTCATTAACCAGTAATTTCTCTGCCATATCCGCATCCCAATCCTTCAAATCGAAACACCATACCACTAGCCACGAATATTTCACAGTAGAAATACGTTTGGAATAGAGGTAACCATGTAGATGACATTTAATCAAAAGCTTCCCTTTCATAATTAGTATCGAGAAATATTAAAAAATATAAATAGAAAACATTTAAATTTGTTATTAAATATCTTGTCGTTATTTCCTCAGATCGGACGCCGAAGAATACCGACCTGGCCAGGTGATCTCGCTCAATCCTCAGGAGCTCCTCGAACTGCAACCAGAGAGGAAGGCTCCACTTAGCAGCAATCAGCTTCTTCAGCAACTGTACAGTCCGCAACAGCAACAGGAGCAGAAGCCAGGCCCTCAGCAGATTTATTACCTAGAACCACAGACTGCTAGACAGGTATTTTGATTGTTCTATCCTTATTATCATTTAAACATATCATCTTATGCTGAACATAGGTCTCCCCCAAATTACAATGCACAATGTATCGCGCTGCACCACCTGCATCCAATCGACATTCTACAAAATTTTTAAGAACGTCATTCTATGTCGTAGCGTTTCCTAATATACATATTTAAATACTTGAGATCCTTTAGTAACCATAATTTCAATTTATCTTAAATATCCTAATATATTTCCAACTGAGGATATCCGCAAAAGAACCAAAATAACCGACATAGTCCGAAGAATAAGCAAACTTCATTGGCAATGGGCTGGTTACATAGCTCAAAGAACCGATAACTGATGAGAAAGAAAAGTTCTTAGGTGGAGTTGGCGTAAGGGTAAACGCAGTGTAGAACGACCCCCCACAAATGGAGTGACGACCTGTAATGCTTTGCAGGGAGGCGGTGGATACAGGTGGTTCAGAACCGTTCTTTATGGCAGTCTAAGGGGGTGGCTTATGTCCAGCAGTAGACGGATAATGGCTGAAATGATGATGATTTGCAACTGTGTAATAATTATCACTTAAATTGTCTGATCTTTCAAACTATATCATAAAGAACTTCTTTAAAAATGATGTCTATAAATTTTGAAGGTATAATATATGTACCTTCTAGCAATCTAGTTATAGCCTGCTACTTTCGATGAAATCATCCTACTACTTTATCTTTTTATTATTAGTATAATAATATATAGGTTTAGCGTTAAGGACTTTGAAAGATCCTGTTTAAATAAAAGTTAGAACATTACTAAAAATTTAAAGGATTGAAGGGAATGAAACTACACAGTACATAGGCATATCATCTTAGTCCCCAGGAATGGCAACATACAAGGGATATTATGGGCGACAGAGTATACTCTGTTATGTCCGTGATACTATTTCTGTCTATAGACGACGGTTACTACTTTTCATCAGATAGTAGCAGATCAGCTGGTTTGCCATTCTAATTTGCATAAAAAAGAACAAAAAGTTTCACAAAGGCATTTGTTGAATAAAAAGAAAAAAAGGTACATCACGTTGCTATCTGCACTGCTGTACTCATGTATATCCGACGCTATTCAGTATTGATTTAGTTATCCAAAACTTATTTGAAATGTATAGCTTTGTAGTAAAATACACCTTTGTACTCTTTTCAAATGTTAATACTGTGGTTTTGTACCTTCGTACAATAGAGCTTTGTGGATAGACAAGAATCGAGATACTTTTAAGAGATAAAAGCGATACGATAACAGATACGCTGAGTAAATGCTAGTTAATCATAGTAAAAGCGTATTGTTTAAATAGTATCTAGTACAACAAATATGAATACCATATTTTCCTTACAAACAACTCAAGGAAATGAACATCACCACAACAGTAGGTGCTGCGTTATTATCGAACGAGAAATCAAACAATACCGTTCTACAGTCGGCTTTATTTAACCTGAGAACATATTCTGAATCTATTGTATAGTTCTTTGTTTGCGGACAGACACGGAATACATGTATTTATCTTAAAGATTCCACATATGATACACGAAGTAGTGTGAGAAATCCTAGATTATCTTAATGAAGATCTACGTCCTTAACTATGTCAATATAAATGTTTTATATTAAATAATATTATAAAAAAAAAAAATATATCGCCAATTTAGAAAAGAATCAATTTTCATTATTCCTAGTTATTTCATTAATTGAAAGGAGTTTGCTAATGGTAATGGGCTCATCCTACTTTTATTAATAAAATCAGTTTTTTATTTACCTAATATAATCTTAAATAATCTTTGACAAATAAATCATATATCTGATATAAATTCGTTGCTAATTTCAGGTTGCATATCAGCCATCGCATGCAGTGATCGCTCGTCCCCATTACTCATCGAACGGCGGTGAAGCGTCAGTAGGAGCTGCACTATCGGTCAGCGACTCAGGAACAAGCTCCTCTGACTTCGATCAGGAACTTTTGGCTTTATTGAGCCATTCCCAAGGCAGAACAGAAGAGCCCCGTCAACAGTATCAGACACAAGTTCAACAGGCATCAACACAAAGTGTTGCACCACAATATCAACAGGTATTATAAAATATTTCTATTTTGTATACGAAAAGTTATATTTTCTTTATTAAGATTAGAAATACCCTTAATAAAGAGGTTGTCTATTAGAAACAGCACGATTAATATATATTGTTACATAAAAATCTTAATTAAATAATAGAATTACATAGAAATAAATAAAACTAGTGACATGTTTAAGCAATTAATTTGTTTCTAAATATTATCAGATAGTTGCTATATATAAAATTCAATTTCCTTTCATTCAGGTCTTTCAGATATTTTAAATCATTGTTTAACAGAATCTATACACTCTTAAAGGTTATTTCAAATTTCTGATTAACTTCACATTCTATTCAATAGTAACGAAAATTTTAATACGATCTTGTAATTTATATGATCAGTACTAAATAATTAATAATATATGTCTTTCAGGTCGACAGATATATTACAAAACCCAGCAAAAAGCCATCGAAACTGCGTCCAAAAGTTACTCCTCCTCAACCTCTGCCTGCAGGAGCACCTCAACAATACTTAATAGAAACCACAAATGTTCAACAGCAACAACCACAACAATCGCAAGTACAATATCGTCCTGTCCATCATCAACCACAGAGACCAGTACAGTCATTGAGATATGTACCAATTCAACCAGCTCAAGCTGCTGTTCAACAGGTAGTATATGAACGTCCAGAATCACAAGGCCTCAAAGTAGTACCAGCTCCCAAACTCGTACAAGAACCTGTACAACAACAGGTGGCCTATAGATTTATACCTCAATACCAACAGCCTGAAGCTACTCCAAAACAATACCGAATTATTGATGTTCCTAGACCTCAAGTAATCAGGCCTGACCAAAGACCCCCATCTAGTGCTGAACGGCCAGTAACATATTTGAAACGCTATCCAGAACCTGAAAAAAATCGTGCTGTTAAAATATACGACCCTGCTTCAGTAGAATTAGCAGCTGAACGACAATCCCCTCAAGCTGTCGGACAACAGTATTACTTGCGCCCCGTTTATAGAACGAATGAACAGAATATTAGATATGAATCGGTTGTACCTGCCACATCTGCAGAACAGCCTCGTGCTCCGTTACCTACTAAAACGCCACATTCTGCAATTTATGTCAGTAAAAATCTTAGTTCGAAAAAACCCAGACCACTTCATTTAAGACCCGATGAAGCTGTAAGTAGCGAACAGCCACGAACAGAACATATTTCTAGATTAGAACAAGTTGTTAGAATAGAACAAGCAGCCAGAGCTCAACAATCTGCTAGAGCAGAACAAGCTGCGAGAACACAATTAGCAATGAGAGCGCAACAAATTGCTCATACTGAACAAACAGCAAGAGCACAACAAGCTGCAGAACAAGTAGGCATCGAGCAGTATAGTCAGAATATCGATGATCAACGAGCTCAATTACCTCCACCAAAAAACAACAAAGCTTATACTCCAGAGGAATTCGCAGCATTAGTAGCAGCCGGTTACGCTGTCACGCCTATTCCAGTCAGTACGTTAAATGCCCAACAAGCCCAGTCTAGATCTTCAGAAGAAATTCAAATACCTCAATTAAAACACCGACCCATTTACAGGAGACCCCAATATTTGCCTATCAGAGGTGACGATGCACCTTAAAAAATTTGACCATATTGTACATAATTTTAGCTATAATTCTGTAAATTAATAAAATAGTGATATTATGGTTGTATTTTAATTTGATTTATATTTCAATACCTAATGTTTTTATTTAATTACTGTCTACATATAAAAAAGGTATCAAAATTGATAACTTTAACATGCCTGCGATCCATCAATTATGAATTGTTAAATTTTTGGGATTAATTCTAGAAAGTTACATTTTTATATTTATATGTCTGTCATATATTTATATTTTGTTTTGAAATTATTATGTTAATAGTCACCTTAATTTTACAATAATTTATTGAAATGGCCGGTAGATAGTTATTAATTTTTTTAGACACAATACCTAAATAATAACTAGTCATTCAGTCCACTACATTTAGTAAATAAAACCACTAACATTTTGAAAAGAGATAAAACCGCGATCTATGATTACAATCATGAAGATATTTATGAAACTACAAGTTCTAATCAAAACCACAATACCCACAACCCGTTTTTCATTATTTATATCATAAATGAACTCAATAAGCCAGTAAATTTTATATTAATTTTAATTTAAAAATAGGAAATATAACTACTTCATTATTATAAGAGTAGGCAAGTAAATTACCAATAACATATAACAAAATTGCGTACAACTAATTCTCTGCAATTGTAATACTTTTCTTAAGCATTACAAACACATTAAAAGTGTTTTAATTTAGCGCATCATGTATTTATTTGAACACTGTTTTCATTGCATTTTTTTTTATCAAGCTTATTTGAAAGGCGGTAGCAGAACGACGTAAGCATATATTATCTGTGATGTAAGTAAATGCGGGAAAACATGTAAAGTACTTTAAATGAATAATTATGAGCTGCTACAAAATTACTCTGTGTCCACTGTGGTTTTATTGTGGTTTAGTTGGACGCTGCATATATCAGTCATTTCCTTCCGCCTTTGAGTCGTATTACCCATGGCAGTGATGTAATTTTTAAAGTAAAATGTTTATAATGAATTGTACTTCATTAATCATCGGCAACAGCATCCGATAGTAACAAAATTCTAAAATTCGAATTTATTGGATTCAAATATAGATTACATGTATTCCAATCGTAGCCAAAACCCTAGAGCCTTGGGATGTTCGATAATATTCGAAAAATTATGAATACATTAGGTTTATCACAGTTACGTCAACAATGCGATATTTGTACATCGCTCCATGCATATTCATTTGTATAATTACAAGCATTGTTCCATTGAGCATCAAATTCAACATGTTTATGTTTATCTAAGCTAAAAATGATAGGTATCAAATGATAAATTTATTAAACTCACAAACCTTAGGTTATTGTATTTTTAATTATATCAGCTGTCTTCTACTAAACATAGGTCTCCACAATAAGAGAGTTTTGTCGGTAGTTGCCAGCAGACAGGTTGGGAGCTACAGTTAATATTTGGTGTTGTTTTAAGAGGGACGCTGCTGCTCATCAGTCGACTATTAAGTTTCCTTAGTCGCCTCTTACGACACGCACGGAACAGGAAGGAGTGGCCCATTCTATACTGGGACCATACGATAATCAGAAGTAGACTATTATACTAGTAATAACTAAAAATAATATATATCTACTAGAAAAGAATTTCGTAAAATTTTCGACAGGAATAACAAACGACGGCATCTATGTAAGTGAAGACACTGGAAAAAGCATGTTTAAAATAAAAAAAATAAGGATAATTTTATCTGTCTGCAAATATATATTTTTATTACAATGACATATAAAAATCCAATTATCTGATACTATTTTTTTATGATTCCATTATATTTGTAATAACATTTGGGCTCGGCATTTTTCTAATTTCACAGCTGGAATAATTTTGATTAAATATTCTGTTCGCTGTCATGACTTTGAAGCTGACTGTCGTAAAACAAAACTAGTCTATCACTGACTAGAATAATAATTTGAGTTTTAATGTTTTTAATGAAAAAATTTACATCATTAATAGATAACGTGAATAATGACCGACCATAGTCTTTTTTTATGCAACATAAAATGGCAAACAAGTTAACGGCCCACCTAATGGATAGTGTTAACTGTCGCCTATAGACATGAGCAGTACCATGGACATAACAGAGTATACTGTTTCTTCCATGATATTCCCCATGCGTTGCCATTCCTGAGACCTCAGGTATTATTCCTCTGTACCCTGTAAATTCACTGCCATATCCCACCCTTCAAACCGAAACACAGCCATGTAAATACGAGTACAACTGATTAACGGTAGAAACACGAATGGACAGAGGTGCCCAAGCAACGACTTTAGTACAAAGTCTCCCTCTGGTAATCCTAAATCTAATTTCATTTGGGAAGGTGGCGTTTTGCTCTCAGTAAAAATGTATAGTACTCGTATTTTAGTATTCTAACGCTGTCTCTAATATGCGGTAATAGGCCTTCGTTCTCAGGACTAATGCATGAAAGGTGCCTTGGGCGCTACGCTATATTTTATTTTGAGATATCGATTGACGATTACCACTTTCCATCAAGTAAGTTGTCAGCTTATTTGCTATTCTTCTTAAGTTGAGTTAGATATAGATTATACGATATTGATATCTTCTATAGTAAAGCTTTGCTGCGTCTATTCCATTGATTTACAACTAATAATCTAATGCTATATCGTAAAAAAAATGTGTAAATTTTTCACTATTCGAATATCCAGATTATAATTATGTCGTAAAATTGAATAATTTATTGCTCGGTCTTCCTTGGATTACTCTTAACCACAAAATTGTATAGGCTTCAAATAATCAAAACTTTAGATTTACTAGTTCTAACACAAGCCAAGTATAAGTGATTCAATATAGCTTTACATAAGCCAAGTTTCAGACAAGTTGTCAGCTAGCAGATAAATACTTAAGCTCCTTCTAGTAGGTAGGCATGTGATAAACCCAAAACTTTACACATACAAGTTATTGGGACATATAAGTGATTAGAAGTTTCATTTCATTCCAAATAATATAACTTATACATATGGCGTAATAAGTATAGCGTTTTATATCAAGTAACATAGTTACATACTATCCCTTCCCCTAAACTCTTTTAAAAATGCTTCTAAAAATTTCAGTCAACGACTCGTTTATCCGTTCGTACCGTATCGTAACGTATCGTTTATGATTTATAGGCATAAACTCTTTGACGAAAAGAACGAACAATGTGTGGTCCCCGATATGAAAATCAGAGGATCGCAATTTTTTTTAATGGATGATAATAGAATAGGTATCCTTCCTGCGCTATCGATATACAGTGATGCGGTAACAGTGAGGGATGATGATGAAGCAAGTTAGTTTGCCCATCGTGACGAATTCAATAATAAATCAATCACGATAGTTTCCAGGGTAAACCGATTGGAGGTTGACTACGTATATTGCTAGCAATGGGATTGCTAAACTTCATTATTAACAATTCCTTCTTCCCCCGGATCGCACATGCGGAGAGGCATTGGAGGCCTGTATCCAGCAGTGGACAGATATGTGATGAATAATGATAATTATATCTAACGCGAAAAACCATGGTCTGGTATATAATTCTAGCAAAAGTGTAATCATGACATTTGTATCTGGACATAAAAAACCGAAGTATGTGCCTCCTATATCACTTAATGGAAATGTACTTGACGTGGTAACTGATTTTAAATATCTCGGTCACATTATTGCAAATACTTTAAAAGATGACCTGGATATAAAACGAGAAAGAAGAGCATTGGCAGTTAGAAGTAACATGTTGGCCCGCAGACTAGATGTACAAAACAAGTAAAAATAACCCTGTTTAAAGCTTTTTGTCAGGTGTTCTACACAAGTAGCTTGTGGGTCAACTATAGTCAAAAAACTTACAATGCTCTTCGAGTCCAATACAATAATGCCTTCAGGGCACTGTTGGGGCTACCTAGTCACTGTAGTGCGTCACACATGTTTGCACGGGAGCGTACAGATGATTTTTACGCAATACGACGCAAACGAATTGTTTCGCTGTTGGATAGGGTGCGTGTTAGCTCAAACAGTGTCCTGAAGACAATTGCTGATAAAATGGACTGTCCCATCCTAAAATATTGGGTGGGACAGGTTATCAATGTAAGAGCGTTATGACCGCTCATTTACTAACATAGGTTAAGTCAATTTGTAACTAACAAAATGGGCCTTATGTAGTCTAATTAAATAAATATTATTATTATTATTATTATATCAAGTAAGTAATAAATTGACTCCAAAAATCTGCCAGTTTTGTACTGTATTTAGTGATATTTTTTTTTCAATCGACCAGGATTACTTATCGCATTTAATCCAAATCTCTTATTATTCAAAATCATGTTCCAATCAATGAAGTTTTTTTTTTTATTGTGGAACTGTTTCGTTTTTTTTTGCTTATGAAAAATTATTAGTTTTATTTTATGAATTCTAAAGTAGATAAACAATAACAGATAAAATCTAAAAACTGGTACATGTTCCTTGAGACAAGTTGTTCAGAGTCATATAATACTCACTGTATTTCGAATTTATTATAACATTAGTTTAATAAGATTTAGTTCGATTGCGTGATTCTAAAGACCATAACATATGTGATGAAGAATCTCCGTTTTACAAATCGTCATAGTCGTAGAACACTGACGGATCTGACAAAGATTACATTTATAGATCTGTCAGTATTCTACGACTATGACGAAATGTTATATTTTTCCACGAACTACTAAAAATTTGGTTAGCACCATACTATACTATAATAGTTTATAGTAATTAAAGAAGACAAACATTACGATGATAGTGTTATGGTTAATAATTTTGACTTGGAAGATCTCTGATACATCGTCATAGTCGTAGAATACTGACGGATCTGACAAAGATTACATATAAAGATCCGTCAGTATTCTACGACTATGACGATATATGCTCTCTATAAAAGTCCGAAGCTAAAAAAATCCTTGACCTAGCTTATCAGTGATAAACTCTTTTTGAGTAAATTCCCAAACACGAAACAGATGAATTATTCTCCATTTTTACTTTTACCATTCCTTTTACATAGGTTAGGT